CCACTAAGCAGCACTGGCAGATGGGGCTGGAGTGAAACAAGAAGTGTTTTTCCAGCAGTTTCAGCAGCCTGCAGCTCGCTCCGTTTTGCTTGTGTTTTTACTGTTACAATCTGCTCACAAGATCAGCCCTGGTTCACGTGGGGCCCTGGTGATGATAAGCCAGTCAGTGGGTGTTGATGGTGCCTGCTGAGGACAAAGAAAGTAGCAGCTTCAGCAGCTGAGGGAAAATACCAGTGAAATCGCTCTCAAATCAAACTGAAGGGGAGAGTGGGGACTGGCTTTTCTTAGGGCTGAGCCTGGTGCTGTGACCAAAATCAGCAGTCAGGCACAAACCAGAACTGCAGCCCAACCTGCAGCCTCTGTGCCCCTTCACCCCCCTCCTCCCCTGCAGTTCCCAACACTCCAGCCCATCAGCAGCATCACTGTGGCTGCAGCTTTCTGAGCTCTCATTGGGCTGCAGTGACATTTGTCATTCTATTTTTATTACCTCCCAGTTTGAATCCTCCCCCTTCTCCATCTGTCCATGGACAGAGACATTTCTATAGTACCTCCCCATCTTGGCTGCTCATGAGTTCCCAGGAGGCACAGATATGCTCCCTGTCCACCCTCTTCTACTTAAGCAGGAGGAAAACCCACCAACTCCTGATTTTAGTGCACTCTGTCCCCTTTTGATATGAAGGTGGGACATTGACAATTTCCATGCCCTTTGTGCCCTTTGCACTTTCCCTGCACACCTCTGCTGAGCTTCTGCCTGTCTGAATCCCTCCCCCCACCCTTCCCAGTGGGAAACACTAAGAAGTGTTTGCTGTTCCTTTTGCAGTTACTACAACACCAAATCGGTCCTTCTGTGCCTGGGGATCACAGCTCTGGTGTGTCTGTCTGTCATCATCTTCAGCTTCCAGACCAAGGTGAGTTTGTGCTGCTCAGTCCCTCTGGGAGAGGCAGCTCCCAGGGCAGGACACAGGGTCAGGCAGTGCTGGGGTGAGGTGGGAGGAGCAGGTCTGTCTGGCTCTGGATACAGGAGCAACCTGAGGGATGTGGGCAGGTCCAGTGGAGGTTTCAGGAAGATTAGGACCCATGCTGGGGTGAGGGATGTGTTAGGGGAACAGACAGGGCCTGAAGATGCTAATGTAGGGGGGTTAGCTGGATTTTTTTAGAGGATTAGGCTGTGGGGTACAAAAGGCCAGTGGCACAAACATTTATGATCAGCCTTTGGAGCTGCTGGGCTCTTATCCCTGGCAGCAGAGGGGGATGGTGAGAGGTTTGGTTCTCTCTGCCACACAGGTGGGTGCTGGGCTGGAGATGCAGGTGAAGCAATTGCCATGTGGCAGCAGGGTGGGTGTGCAGCTGGAGAGTCCTTCCCTGGGGACACGGGGCATTAGTTCCTCTTGCTGCCTCCTGTTCCAGCTCTGCACCTGTAATGGGATGTTCCTTCCCTCCACAGTTTGACTTCACCTCCTACCAGGGCGTCCTCTTCGTGATGCTCATGGTGCTCTTCTTTGGTGGCATCATCCTGACAGTGATCCTGCCCTACCAATATGTGAGTGACAACCTGCACCCCTCCTTCCTCACCCAGTGCCCCCAGTCCTGGTTCAAGCCTGGGAGCTGATCAGCCCAAAGCTCCAGGGCTTGGCTTGGGAGGGGTGTCCCAACCTGCCCTCCAGAAGAGTGAAGAAACACCAACAGAAAGAAAAAGCCAGAGCAGGTGGCTGTTGCCTGCTGGTTGTACAATCAGATAGCAGGTTGTAGGACAGCACTGGCCTGGGGCTTGAGGAAGTTTGCTTCTGTTCCTGGAGCTGTGTAGTGACCCCACAGCAGGTCACGTCACCTGCTTGTGCCTCAGTTTCCCCTCCAGTAAGACCAGGGTAGTGAGCACATTACAGGGCTGGGCTGCCCATACAAAACAGGGCTCTTTCCCAAATTCAAGGCAGGACTTGGACTCTACACAAGTGCAGGGGGTGCCTGTCTGGCCAGGCCTGGCTGTTCACATACCAGGCACCGTCCTGCTATGTTTAAATCTTCAGGCTCAAGTTTCTCAGAAATAAGCACCTCTGGATGGTGACTCAGACCTCAGGGACAAGTCCTGATGATGAGGGACCACCTGGTCACACCTCCAGCTGCTGCCAGCCCCTCTTGCCATGGGTCCAGCCCATTCCTTTGGCCTCCCTGGTTGCTGCTGATACTGGCTGTGCCCAGCTGAAGTCTTGGAGCAGCTTGTGACCACACCTGATAGAGGATTTGATGTGGCAGCGTGGAGTGCCTGCTCTCCATCCAGGGGTGTTCATGACATAAACCAGGATTCAAGTAAGGGCCTGACAGCCCTTGGAAGATGCCAAGGAGGGTGTGTGGGGCCCTGCAGCCACCATCAATCACCCTGAACACCCACTTGTGCTGGAGATGGCAGCACCAGCTTTGATCGCAGCAGCCTTTGAGTGACCTCCAAACTCTTCACATCTTACCTGGCTTCTCTGGGGATGTGGGTCAGGCTTCAAGGGCTGGATCTGTAGGAGACACTCCCACTGGAACCAGCCCAGGAGTTGGTCTGATGATGGACAGGCACACAGGTGTTTCCAGAACGAGGAGCTTGGGTTTTTTGGTTGTCTTGCTGTGAGATCCAGCTCTCCTTGTGCAGACGTGAGGGTAACCCAGCCTGCAGTGCCAGGTCTCTGCCCTTAAACTGCTGAGACAATTGCTCTTTATCTTGCAGCTTGTCAAGATAAGCATGGCTTGAGGCAGCTGGTAATGAGCCTGTCCATCCTGGGAGGGAGGCTGCATCTCTGGGTTGAATCAGCTGTCCATGGGCACATTCTCCTGGAATGCAGGCACCTTCTCCACTATGTGCTGCTGGGCCATGGCAAGCAGGGCCTGAGGTTTGCTCTTGATTCCAGTGAATTTCCTGCTGCAACTCCAGTGGATGAACACATTTAATTAGGCTTGTTAATTAAAGCTGGGTCTGGCCCTTCAAAGCATTTGGTGTTTCTTCCAGTGGGATCAACCTTGTCTGAATACATAAAGGACTTCTGCAAAATGTGTTTCCATCAGGATAGCCCTGACATTTCCCCAGAGCCAGCAGCTGTGATGGAGCAGACTATAGGAAGCATGAGAACCTGGTCTTAGGAGCTTATGAGCCAAGTAGACACAAAGGCCTTAGTGAGAGGGGAAACTGAGGCACAGTGACCTGTTCTTTGCCGTGAAAAGCTCAATAACAGCAACTGCACTGGAGCTGGAAGTGGTGCAAGTCCATCCTAGGCTTCTAGAGCCCTTACCCTAACTTGTTTCCTCCACGACAGCCAAATCCTCTTCTGTATCAAGTCCTGATGTACCAGCTTTCTCCCAGGCACTGACTGATGGATTTGTTTCCTGTAGGTCCCCTGGCTCCATGCCATCTATGCCCTGCTTGGTGCCATCATCTTCACCATGGTGAGTGGTGCTGGCCATGAAACCTGGGAATGTAGTAGGGAAAATAAGCAAGTAAGCAAGGAGTGAGTGTTTTTAGCCTTAAAGGTTGGTTGAGGATGGGAGAAAACCAAATTGTGTGATGGCAACCCCAGGTGGCCAAGAAGACAAACACCATCCTGGCCTGCATCAGGATCAGTGTGACCAGCAGGACCAGGGAGGGGATCCTGCCCCTCAGCCTTGGTGAGGCTGCACCTCGAGCACTGGGGGCAGGTTTGGGTGCTAAAGGATAGGAAGAACGTGGAGGTGCTGGAGAGGGGGCAGAGAAGGGCAATGAGGCTGGTGAGGGGTCTGGAGAACAGGTCTGATGAGGACAGGCTGAGGGAGCTGGGGCTGCTCAGCCTGGAGAAGAGGAGACTGAGGGGAGGCTGGGGCAGTGGATCCAAACTAGAGCCCAGGGAGTTCCACCTCAACATGAGGAAGAACTTCTTTCCTGTGAGGGTGGCAGAGCCCTGGGACAGGCTGCCCAGAGAGGTTTTGGAGCCTCCTTCTCTGGAGACTTTCCAGACCTGTCTGGGTGCCTTTCTGAGTGACCTGCCCTGGTTTTGGTCCTGCTCTGGCAGGGGGGTTGGACTCCATGATCTTCAGAGGTCTCTTCCAACCCCTGACATCCTGTGATCCTGTGAGTGGGTTTGAGCTTCACCAAAACAGAAGGAGAGAGACACTGAGAGGCCGTGGTTTGGGATGCAGGGACATCAGGAAGGTTCATTGCAGGCAGGCAAAGCCCTGAAGCTGGGAAACTGCCCCACAGGAAGCTGAAAAGGCTCAGTTCATGCCTTCCACTGCTCCCTGGCAGTCCCTCCTCCAGGCTCTTCCCAGCTCAAGTCCCAGCAGTGTTCTGCTTGCCACCCAAGTGCAGGAGTTGTCTCAGCTTGGCACTGGCATGGGCTTGGTAGGGGTCAGGAGGAGGCTGCCTTGGGGATCAAGGTGCTGCCCCTTGGGCTGGTTGTGAATAGGAACAGTTGAGCAATTTTATTTATTAGCTATAAAAGTAATTGCAAGTGAGCTCTGATATTTCTTCTGTGATTCATGATTAAAGATTGTCCTGTAAAATAGAAGTAGGTTATGATTACCCCATAAACTTCAGTCAGAACCTCAGCTGGTGGAGGCTGTCGTGCCAGGCTTGTCAGCTCAGCCTGTTTCTGGGGAGAGATCACTTGTTATTTATGACTGGGGGGGGCAGAGGTGCCAGCTGACCCCAGGTGATGGCAAGGATGCCCTGCCAACCCAGAGAGCTCCATGCCAGGGTGTGTGTCACGAGCTGAGTTAACAGAGGGAATAACGGTGAGATGGGAGAAGATCTTGGGCTCTGGAGTCATGCAACAAGGTGCAGATTCTCTTGCAGCTGGGCCACCAGCCTGCCTTGTAGTCCCTGCAGGAAGGCTGGGCAGTGGCTTCCACTGTGATGGCTTCACTGGTAAATCTGCCCTGCACTCAGTAGTGTTTGTACCTCAGAAAGGCTTTGGCTCCTTGCTGGGTCTGGCTGCCTCTACAGACCTTGGTGCTGCCCAGGATCTGGGTTTTCCTGCCCTTTGTTGTTCTTGTGGTGCTACTGGCAATGTCGTGTTGGGCCCAGGTCACCTGTTTACCCAGCGGGTGTTTCTGAACTGGGGGAAGTCTGGGAATAACAAGTCATAGACACTGGCTGAGGAGCAACAGGGAGAACTGCTCCAGAGTTGATCCTGGGACATTCTGGGGGTGGATGAAGCATGAAGGAAGCTGGCCTGGAGTAACAGGCTCAGGGTTTGATTATCAAGAGTGAAATGAAAGAAGGGGAAAGTTGCAGCTTCTTCAGTGCCTTGTGCTGGGCCTTTAATTTCCAGTTAACAGCCCATAAAATGTAGCTGTGTTTTTTGTTCTGGGTACAGTGAAGCAACTGGGAGAGCTCCTGTCATTAGAGCACTTGCCTCCCTGTGCCCAATCTCCATGTGACTGTCACTGGTTTCCTCCTGTTTCCTCCCAGTTCCTGGCACTTGACACCCAGATGCTGATGGGGAGCCGCCGGTACTCGCTGAGCCCGGAGGAATACATCTTTGGAGCCCTCAATATCTACCTGGACATCATCTACATCTTCTCCTTCTTTCTCCAGTTCTTTGGCTCCAGCCAGGAGTGAGTGCAGCAAGGCAGTATCTTCTCTTTGCTGGCAGGAGTCAAGTGTTAGGGAAAAAGAAAATAAATTTAAAAGAAGAGGAAAAGAGGGTTAAAAACCCCAAACAAACCCAAACCTACCCTTTCTGGCCCACGAGCAGGCTCCATCCAAGCAGCTGAACAAAGCCCCTGGGTTCCTTATGCAGCTTGTAAATATGCTGGTAGGCCTTTGTGACCCAGAAAGCAAAGCAGAGCTGAAGTGGTTCTGTCTCTTCTGCTCCCTCTGCTCCTGCCATCACACCAGGGCAGAGACTGGCAGGCTCTGACCAGGATCCCTTCTCCAGAGGCTGTCAGGGATGCCTGAGTGCTGCACATCGAAGTGCTAAGAACAGCTCTGCAAAGGGAAAATAACATTTAGGGGAGGAGAGAATTTTACTGAGATCCTGGCAGGAAAATCAGCTGAACAAAGGAGAAATGCCAGGGAAGTCCTTTCATCCCTCTCTTTCTCTCCTGCATTCATTTGGAGCCTTGTGGTCTCTGCAGAGATGTATTCCTGGTAGTGCCTGCTTGGAGAAGTGCAGACCACAGGATTATGTAGTCTGGATGTCCCAGCAGTCAGTCCTCTAGGCAAGAGGAAACCTGTTGTTGAGGACATGCAGCCTGTTTGAGGGTGTCCTAATGTCCCTGGTGGAATAATTATTCTATATTCTTTGCAGCTGGCCATGGGGTAGAGTATGTGCTTGCTTTCCCTCCCAGAGCAGGGCAGCAGGACCACTGGCTGGAGCCTCACCTCCCCACCCCAGCAGGACATGCACATCAATTCTCTTCACCTGAGAGGGTTGTGAGCCCATGTAAGGATTATTGGCAGAGAATGGCAGAAAAGAGATGAAAGAGGATGAGTTTCAGAGCCCATGCAAAGCCATGCACCTCCTGATGGAGGAGATGGGTGGTTGGCATCTTGCAGCCCATGGAAAGAAACTGATGCCTTCACAAAATTGTCTTGGTTGATTGAATCATAGAATGGTTTGGGTTGGAAAGGACCTTAAAGATCAACTAGTTCCAACCCCCTGCATGGGCAGGGACACCTCCCACCATTCCAGGCTGCTCCAAGCCCCATCCAACCTGCCCCTAAACACCCCCAGGGATGGGGCAGCCACAGCTTCCCTGGGCAACCTGGGCCAGGCTCTCACCACCCTCATAGGCAAGAACTTTTTCCTAATGTCCAACCTGAATCTCCCCTCTTTAAGCTTTAAGACCATTGCCCCTTGTCCTCTCACTACACACCTGTGTAAAAAGCCCCACCCCAGCTTTCTTGCAGTCCCCTTTCAGATAATGGAAAGTTCCTCTAAGGTCACCACGGAGCCTCCTCTTCTCTAGGAAGAGGATTAATAGAGATTAATAGATTAATTAAGATTAAGTAGTTAACTATCCAGAGGCTGAGGCCAGGGTTAATGCCTGTTGCACGGAGTGGGCACTGCTTTGTAGCCAACACCAGTGTCACCTCCCCCTCTTGCTGTTCCAGTTTTGCCCTCCCCAAGGGGGGATGTCAGGGAGGGCACTGGATGCTTCTGAGTGCTCAGGTAACTTTCCATCTTCCCCTTGCTCACATTCTCCTGTTGAAGGATTAGCTGGCTAATTTCTAACTGTAAAGCTCCAGGTGGAGATAAGGGGCCTTTTGCTCTTATTTAAAAGGTGATCCTTCCT